GCGGGCTATTTTCTAACGCTCTTCTTGCCCGCCTGTGCTATTCAGAGACATCGCTAGACGAAACCGGAAGTCATCAAGGGTCTGTACTTCCACTTCGGGCATACGTACAACCACCATCAGATGTTCGCGTGATTCAACCTCGCGAAGTGGCACTTGGGTATGAGACAATCCGTCTTGAAGTCTTCGCAACAATTTTGCGTCAGCTCAAGGTGCGCCTAAATCAAGGGACAAGGGCGATTTTCCTTTTCGTTCTCGGAGAAGTCTAACAGCCATGACCTAGAATCGAAACCGAAGTACTTCGCGATCATTAATAGCATGTCCAGCGCAAAGGCCCCACGATAGGCTGATTATATATTGCGTTTTATATGTTTCCCAAACGAACAGTGTTAGCAAAATATTTTTTTTTTTCATTTCGGCTCCTACATCTCGATGCGCGAGTGCCTTCGCATTCAGCCACTACTGAAATGTGGTCGCTGCTGCAGGGATACAAACGAACGATCTCGTAGTAAGCAACAGAAAACCGCTGCCATAAAGTATAGTTACTGAGGAACGTGTCATTTTTTTCTTTTTTTTAATCTCGCAAGACACTTTCTATTCACTGCTCAATGGCCACGGCTGTTTTCAACAACTCCGGGCAGCCCAGACGGCCCACGAGACGGCGGTGAGGCTTGGCCTTCCCCTCCGGACGTGGGAGCGGAGCCTCCCCCAATGTAAACTGGCGGATGACTTTTTCGGGACCTCAATGAATTTTAGTACGTATCTACGTATCGCGCACGCTATAACCACCACAGTACACAGCCGTCCATGTACTTTCACTGTACCGACATTGCGTGATATCTTTCCCCTATATTAGCTATAATAATTGCGTCCCATAATGCTCCCATACAGTAATCATTTAGTCCCATAATGAGAAAGAATGCCGCAAAAGTGGAGACTGAGCGAAAGCATTTATTGCTACAACAGTCATTCATCAAAGATCATTCCAACCCCTTTTAAAATTTAAGCAGTGATTTTTAACTTTGTGAGTTGTTTTATCTGACTGGAGAACAAATATTTCGCTGATACATTAGCTACGCAGAAATATGTACCTTAATATTGAACATGTAACTTGCCGTGTTGCGAATCCAATGCTTAAAATAAACTCCGCTGCTTTTTCCTCTTACGTGCTTCTTGCAAAAGGCTATACCGGCTGATCACGACAGCTATTAAAGACCGACAAATTTCATGCAGCCGCTCAATTGGTTTCACTTGCCCAATTAAACAGTGAAGCCGATTTCAACGTGTTCCAAGAGCGCTTGCGAAAAAAAAAAAAGAGATGTGGTCCTTTTTAATTCTTGCGCGCAAACAATATAAGCTCGTCTCCCGATGAGGCAGCAACAACACAATCATTTTTACTGAAGGATAACGACAAAGAACAGCAAACTAATGAACAAACTAATGAAATATGTTTTTCCGGAAAACCTAAGCATGTCGAAAACACAGAAGTTATGCTTCGTTGTTGAAGTCAGCAGCTGGAAACGAAGGGCGTTTTTTTTTATTTTCTTTCGACTTCAAGCAATTATGTCTGCGGATTTCAACTGCACATGGCGATGACAGTTTTTCGAACGCGCTATTATCGCTTTAACGACGACTTTCGACAATGTTCATTAAACATCCCCGTTGTAATGCCGTAATCGATAATTCGAAAAACGCAGAAAAAAGAAGAAAGAACGACAAGGCCCACTTTTATCGATGGTCGGTGCGAGTAGATCATTTATACAGGGAACTACAAAAAAAAAAGGAATTAAAAATTAAAAACAAAACTCACGCAAAAAAAAAACACAGTAGAGAAACTGACATTCTCTAGCAATGCGTGGGCATCGCTTTCGCCTGCGCATGTTACGGCGCTATTCGGTTGCCTAGTTTTTACTTCTGTGTCTACCGCCCAGAAAGAGAAACGAGCGCGCAGAATCATACGAGGTTACCAAGAATACGAAAAAAAAAATCAGGAAAGTTTTTCGTCTCTCTAGGCGGCCAACTCGGGCGAAAGGCTTGGTGTGAATCCAAGCGTAAAACTGTCGCTGAACGGCCTCGCGAAATGGCAGATTCGCTCTTCTTTCTTTTTGTCCACGGCGCCTGCAACGTTCACCGCTTCTTTCTCTCTTCGTATTATTCCACGCCGTTAGACTTTTCTGGCAACATGTCTGTGTTCAGATACACACAAATAGCTATAGAGAAATGACAAGCACACAGCGGGTTTGCTCGTCGTCGGAAAAGTTTTTCTATTAGTATGCTTTTCCGGAACACTTTGATGTCTCTGACGCTTGGACGGTGTCATCGAATTCCCGCTCTTCTCCTGGCCTGCGCTCCCCTGTTTGCCTTAACACGCTCGGGATAAAGCATGCAGCTGCACAAAAAGCCGGAGAAAAGAAAGCGAGAACGATGGTATACCGTGTGGCGGTTGGAAGCGCCAATGCAATTATGACGCTTTCAGAAGAGTTAGACGGCAAAGTAGAAATCATATTATACTTTCGTCGATCGCGAAGTGGTGAACACAAACAAACAAACAAACAAACAAACAAACAAACAAACAAATAGGGGAAAGGACGACAAAGGTATAGTTCAACGATGCACCACCCGATATATTCCGCAGCAAAAGGGCATCCAGAGCTATACGAAAAGTGCTGGAAATAATGCGCATTTTGAATAACTTCTGCAGATTGTCCGCACGTTCTTATTCGTCGGCGTCCAACACCGGTGCCAATGTACCGCGAGACGCAACATCGTATACCGTACGCATACATAGTATATCATCATCATCATCATCATCATCATCATCATCATCATCATCATCATCATCATCATCAGCCTGACTACGTCCACTGCAGGACAAAGGCCTCTCCCATGTTCCGCCAGTTAACCCGGTCCTGTGCTTGTTGCTGCCAATTTATACCCGCAAACTTCTTAATCTCATCTGCCCACCTAACCTTCTGTCTCCCCCTAACCCACTTGACTTCTCTGGAAATCCAGTTAGTTACCCATAATGACCAGCGGTTATCCTGTCTACGCGCTACATGCCCGGCCCATGTCCATTCATTTCTTCTTATTGATTTCAGCTATGATATCTTTAACCCCCATTTGTTCCCTAATCCACTCTGCTCTCTTCTTGTCTCTTAAAGTTACACCTACCATTTTCCTTTCCATTGCTCGCTGCGTCGTCTTTAATTTAAGCTGAACCCCCTTTGTAAGTCTCCAGGCTTCTGCTCCGTAGCTAAGTACCGGCAAGATACAGCAATTATAAATCTTCCTCTTGAGGGATAGTAGCAATCTACCTGTCATAATTTGAGAGTGTTTGCCAAATGTGCTCTACCCCATTCTTATTCTTCTAGTTACTTCAATCTCGTGGTTCGGCTCCGCGATTATTACCTGCCCTAAGTAGACATAGTCTAGATTAGATTTGAGGAAGGAACGACAGAAACTGATACGCAAGAAGCCAATCAATGAGCTAGCACTGAGAGGGAAAGTACAGGAATTCAGTCTCTCGTTTCAAACATATAAAGCTCGTCTCCCGATGAGGCAGCAACAACACAATCATTTTTACTGAAGGATAACGACAAAGGACAGCAAACTAATGAACAAACTAATGAAATATGTTTTTCCGGAAAACCTAAGCATGTCGAGAACACAGAAGTTATGCTTCGTTGCTGAAGCCAGCAGCTGGAAACGAAGGGCGTTTTTTTTATTTTCTTTCGACTTCAAGCAATTATGTCTGCGGATTTCACCTGCACATGGCGATGACAGTTTTTCGAACGCGCTATTATCGCTTTAACGACGACATTCGACAATGTTCATTAAACATCCCCGTTGTAATGCCGTAATCGATAATTCGAAAAACGCAGAAAAAAGAAGAAAGAACGACAAGGCCCACTTTTATCGATGGTCGGTGCGAGTAGATCCTTATACAGGCAACTACAAAAACAGGAATTAAAAGTTAAAAACAAAACTGACGCAACAAAAAAAAAAAAAGCACAGCAGCAGAACTGACATTCTCAGGCAATGCGTGGGCATCGCTTTCGCCTGCGCGTGTTACGGCGCTATTCGGTTGCCTAGTTTTTACTTCTGTGTCTACCGCCCAGAAAGAGAAACGAGCGCGCAGAATCATATACGAGGTTACCAAGAATACGAAAAAAAAATCAGGAAAGTTTTTCGTCTCTCTCGGCGGCCAACTCGGGCGAAAGGCTTGGTGCGAATCCAAGCGTAAAACTGTCGCTGAACGGCCTCGCGAAATGGAAGCATTAGATGCGCTCTTCTTTCTTTTTGTCCACGGCGCCTGCAACGTTCACCGCTTCTTTCTCTCTTCGTATTATTCCACACCGTTAGACTTTTCTGGCAACATGTCTGTGTTCAGATGCACACAAGTAGATAGAGAAATGACAAGCACACCGCGGGTTTGCTCGTCGTCGGAAAAGTTTGTCTATTAGTATACTTTTCCGGAACACTTTGATGTCTCTGACGCTTGGACGGTGTCATCGAACAATTATTCCCGCTCTTCTCCTGCAGCCTGCGCTCGCCTGTTTGCCTTAACACGCTCGGGATAAAGCATACAGCTGCACCAAAAGCAGGAGAAAAGAAAGCGAGAACGATGCTATCGTGCGATGGTTGGAAGCCCCAATGCAATTATGACGCTTCCAGAAGAGTTAGACGGCAAAGTAGAAATGATATTATACTTTCGTCGATTGCGAAGTGGTGAAAACAAACAAACAAACAAACAAACGTGGAAAGGATGACAAAGGAATAGCTCGAACGATGCACCACCCGATATATTCCGCAGCAAATGGGCATCCAGGGTTTACACGAAACGTGCTGGAAGTAATGCGCATTATGAATAGCTTCTGCAGATTGTGCGCGCGTTCTTATTCGTCGGCGTCACAGCACCGGTGCCATTGTACCGCGAGACAACACCGTATACCATACGCATACATAGTATAGAGTCCATGATGTGATTAAACAAGTGAACTCACCAACACGCTTCCTTCAAGTCTTTAGGGTCCGATGCGTTAAACGCCTTTTCGGTGACGTGTTTCTTGAAGACGTTACTGCACAGGCTGGTCTCCTGTATGGCTACGTCTACGAAGCAGGTCTGCGCTGGCGGTGTGGGAGGCAGCTTCGCATCCTGCACCAGCGTCACTAGCGACCATGCTGCAAATAAAGAAGAGAAAGGAGCTGTTATATAGAGGCGTGAATGTTTGCCAATACACTAATACACAAAGATGCGGCGCTTACTGAACGCAAACTCAATTTCGTTCGTCAGCTTATGCGATTCGAAATTTTATGCAAGAGCCAGATTAAATCACTCTTGAACGCGAGTCTCTTTAGGTGGACAGCCGGCGTGAGCCTACGTGCGAAGCCATTCAGAAATAACACTGTATGTACAATAACGTGCGTTACCTCATCAAGGCAAACTTTACCAAGCTTGCCTTGCATAAAGGCGAGCTTAATGAATTCTTTACAGACGTTCATGTTAGCAGGTGAAAAACTCGTTCTGCACAGTACCATCAACGGGAGGGCAATTGCTGGAAAATTAGCTCGTGCAGCACCTCCTGCATTTTAATTTTTTTGCTTGTGCAAATAATCGCGACCAGATATTTTGTTTCTTCGCGTGAAGTAAGCGAGATCTTATTTATATTGAGTAGGCAGGGGCAAAGTATTAGGTTCGGAGTTTATATTTGTTTTATTTAGCCTCATTAGTTGACGCTTAAGGTGACGTCCAATCACAGAGGCGTGTTTGCGGTCTTAATAAGCGTAATCAAAGCCCTTTTCGCAACAGTCAAAGCAGGCTGCCTTCAATTACAGCCAGATTTTACATACTGTGCGAGTTGCATGCAGTGGTGTAGTTGCCACCCTTCACTTGCGTTGCATTTTACGCTTTGCCAACGTTTGGACAATGCGTTGCTACGCGTCGACAGTGTCTTTGCGAGCGATTCTTATCAAATTTAGTACGGTCAAGGCGAAAACCTCAGATACCTCGTCAAACGTGAAAATAGACCATCGGCGGCGTCAAACACGGGCGATGCGGAAAGTAAGTAAAACGTGATGGCGGCATCATACAATGTCATTGCAACGTCACACAACAACAACAAAAAAAATTCCCGACGTTATCATAACGTCATGACGCGTCATCTTCGCTCGGTGAAAGGTGGGCTAATCACAGAGGCAGATCATAACCACTTGAGGATACAAAAATATCTCGAAGGGAGGACGAGTAAGAAACTACATCGAGTGGGGAAAAAAAAGCAGACGAAGATGTCTTTCGCATTTCAGTCATCCTAGGTGACCCCGTCAGTTTTGAAATACAGAACCATATATAAGTGAACTTACGAAAAGAAGCACACAGACAGTGAGGCAGCACAAGCACAAACAAGCTGACAACTGCCACTGAGAGGGGCCCGACGTTTGCCCATTCTTTGGGAAGCAGAGAATAGAATTCAAAGTTGAAGAAGGCAAGAGGTGAAACAAATCAAAAAGCCCGTGACAAAAAAAAAAAACACAAACAACAAGCAAAATAGAAACATATAAGAACAGCTTTGCAAGCGGTATCCCAGGAGGGTTTCGCGAAGAAAAGTTAGCAGCGCACGATTACGTTGTTCACGTCGAGAAGCACAGCGGCTCGCAAACAAGCCCGTTATAACATGCAACCGTAATTCAAGCCCAAAGATCGCCGACAAATGCTCGATTGAGGCGATATCACTACCTATAGCTCCGGAGGCCCCGTCCACAGATTTTCCCATCATGGAAGTCTGCAAAAAACATTACCCGAACACAGCTGCCTCACTGGCTGAGGAGCTTTTACAAGCCCTTTACGCCTCATAAAACACAAAGGTTGACCATCGACCACGTTAACAGGAGTGATGAAAAAAAAAAGAAGATCCAGCGAGTTTTCTTCATTTGTATCGGTGTTTCGCTCCACGTAACCTGAGACTTGCCTATACCTTAGCCGCAATCCGTTGACATGCTCGTAACTATATGCTCGCATTGCCCCAGTTGTATACTATTGTGTAAAGCAGGCTAAGAACAGTCGTGTCTCTCCGCCTTTCTATAAACTTATCTATAAACTTTTTGTGCTCTGCACCAATAGGTCACGCCATCGCAGCGCTTGGCTTAGCGTTTAACCTCGTCTCTGCGGAGAAACACACGCAAACGGACAATAGCCTCCCTATACGGTTAGTCATGACGTCAACGATCGCCCTATATTCGCGCACTGCCCCAGACACAACCATGCTAAATATATATACCGTGGGCGTCCTGCTTCCCGAGCATTGATATATCTGACCAAGAAAGCGATCTCACGCGGAATGAAAAGAAAGGAAGATACGCTAACGGCAACTGACCAGCACGGCTATAACAGTCGATAAGGTGGGAGCTCGCCAAGTACTGCGGTATAAAGGAAGTTCACGAGTATACGCTTGTACACGCTAACCATAAGCAAAGTATCAGAACCACTGAAACCTATGCACGCCATTAACTGCGTTCCTTCTTTTTTATTTTTATTCTATCCTATTCTAGAGCACCCGCACTCAGTAACTCACTTTCGATTCGTAAGCTGTACGTTACAGTATCTCCGATAAGAGCGATATTCACGCAAGTATACCTTCATACGTCTGATCAATATGGAGCCACAGAGAAATGGTCACGCAAGCTTGATCATTGCTAAGAGCAAAACAGTTAAGCGGAACAAAGTTTAACGTCTGTATACATATTTCAATCTGTGCACGTGTTTCTGTAGTTCCTTTTAAACGCGGTGTAAAGCAGTTTTGATTCATTTAAGCACTCCAGAACAACATTTCCGCTTCACACAGCGTTTATCTAGCTATCATTCCTTCGTGGGTTACTGCCCGACCTTTTGTCAAACCTTATAAACCGTAAATGATCAAAACCTGAAAGTCTAAAAATACACAAAAGCTATAGTACACCAAACAAAGGGAGCAGGTAAATTAAATTTCTGTTTAATCATCAGGCAGTTCACAGTGAAATTGAGAAAACTGTATATATTCGGTTTAATAGAATATTTCTGCGCAGTAGTGTACGTTAAAAGGGAACCATTATCTTTTGGCCAGCATGGGCAGTGTTCCGTACAAATAATAAGAAACGGCGCCGCCATTTCTTTCACAACGCAAACTGCACTTAGACCCCGAGCTCACAAATCCGGGAACACTGTTCTGGAAAATAAATGTTTATTTCATCATCAACTGTAATTAGTCTACCGTTGCCGCGGACTGCGGCGCAGTGATTTGTTTTATAGAAGAACTATTAGCTGCATCTATGGCGCTTAAAACGACAGCTCTCTATGATGTTAGCACTGCATAACTGAAAATAGCACCTCAAAACAAAGAATGCCAGATAATAGTCAGGGGAGCGTCTAATGCTTTGTAACTTTATTCTGAAAAAAAAAAAATATTGTGGATACCACGCCATTGCATGCATAATAAAATGAGGTTGTACGTTTTTGAAAGTATACTGCGCTTCCGTTCGTGCTATACTCCCCACAACTAGAAAACATAGCGACATCTTACTTCTTGGCAGTTGATTGAGCTATGCGCGGACAAAAAAAGTCGCCTGCTTTCCAGGACTACAAATATTACAGCATTGTACTTATAACATTTTTGAGGGACACAGGTCACATTGATGGGCTATAACAGACTTATATTTTACGCCTTATATCATATGTATATCGCGTATAACATGAGATTCGTTCAGGGTGAGTATCGTGAAATTTTTCCCCATTCCCACCCGGAGTATAGCATGCCGGTGTTCTATACAATGGGAAACGCCTCTTCTAGATCCATCAATAAACCCTCAATCTTCTATTCCTCCTATTTAGTGCTGATACAATCTATATTACAACTCTCAATACTTCTCAGCGACTGTCAGAAACAACAGAATTTGCCCAACTAAGGTTAAAAAAGGATCGAACTTAAGACAACCAAAAGGTCCTATCATGGAATGATATAAGGCCACATCTGCCCCGACCGATATGAAACTGCGCGACAAGATACATTCGAAATAAGGTATCCAATCGAAAACTATAAAGGAAAGAAGAAATGTTAAACCACTCCCTAAGCTTTCAAACCTCGTACAGGACGGCTGCGACGGAGAAAAATCTTTCGTGAGTATATAGCGGCGGCGGGCCATGTGGCATAAACGGAGCGATCTCTTGGCAAATACGCTTTGGACATAAGATTTGGCCTCGACATCTCTCTCGCTCACTGAACACCCTTTCTCCTTTCACCCACATACTACCACTCGACGACGTCTCCCTCTCTCTCTGTGTCTCTCTCTCATTCGCAAGTTCTCCCGGTTCTTGTGGATGGATCTCGAATGTGATGGGGTGCCGTTCGCAAACGACCGCCATTCTGAGCCAGTGAGCCGGAGGAGAAAGCGACGGTCGCGATCGGTATAGACCCTTTCGACAAACTGTGGGCTGTCCAGCCGTAAGGATAAAGCTCTCACATCTTGCTCCCCATCGGCGAAAATGAGAAACATTTTTCGACAACAAGGACGACGACGCCGTGTTCTTTGTAGTATACGCTGCTGTGCAAGTTTCTGCGTGTTTGGGTAAAAGAAATGTAACCTGCGTGCGTTTGGGTATGTAGCTTGCACTGAGAGGAATATCGGGACTTATACGTCATGCGTAAGATAGGCATAGACAAGTGTAATTCCACATACAAACCACGTACAAACCACGTACACATACCTGAATCCGATTGAACACGCTTATATGGGACGACGCGAGGAAAGGAAACGTGATCTGCTTAGAGAGAGAGAGAGAGAGAGAGAGAGAGAGAAGAGAGAGAGAGAGTTATTTTAATGGGGAGCTGGAGAGGTTTGCCTGGTTTTTCACCTGACAGGCTACTCGAGTTGCCGGGTGATGACAATAATATATACAATGATGAACACACAACACATACAGTTACATACACGCATAAGCTCGCGTACTTCCCTAGGAAATTTTAAGTCACCACGCGCGCTTATTGATTTTATGAGATCGGTATCACCCACGAGGACTGTTAGCACTGCCGAGCCGTAAATCGCGGGATAGCATCCCGGCCACACATTTTCGATGAAGGCAATAATGCTCGAAGCTCGTGTTATACGTAGAATGATGTGCACGTTAAAGAACCCCCTGGGTGGTCCAAATTTCTGGATCCCTCTACTAGGGCGTCTATCATAATTATATCGTGATTTTGGGACGGACGTCAGACCCCGTCAATTATCGCTCGGCGCACGCCGCAGTGTTTGAGAAGCTTCGTCATTGAAGCAGAGTGTTTTTAACGCGATAGCGTTAGAGAGCTCGTGTCGCAAAAAACCCGCCGCCGGCGTCGGCCACATTGGTTGTGAGCGAAAAATCGTCTGTGCGTCTGTGACCGAAAAATCAAGTTACCGTGATAGCCGCGGGAGGCCGCTACTTGTCCACGCGTGCGCACGCGATCACACTGATAAAGCCGCGCGTTCGAAGAAAAAAA